AGGGTTGTCTCTACTCCCCTTCTTGAACAAGGGGACAACATTTGCTATCCTCCAGTCTTCTGGCACTATTCCTGTAGACAATGACGACATAAAGATCAAAGCCAAAGGCTCTGCAATCTCCTCCCTAGCTTCCCAGAGAATCCTAGGATAAATCCCATCTGGCCCAGGGGACTTATCTATTTTCACACTTTCCAGAATTGCTAACACCTCCTCCTTATGAACCTCAATCCCGTCTAGTCTAATAGCCTGTATCTCAGTATTCTCCTCGACAACATTGTCTTTTTCCTGTGTGAATACTGACGAAAAATATTCATTTAGCGCCTCTCCTATCTCTTCGGACTCCATGCACAACTTCCCACTACTGTCCTTGACTGGCCCTAAAGTAAACGTAACCGAATTGTGGTCACTATCACCAAAGTGCTCACCTACCTCCAAATCTAACACCTGGCTTGGTTCATTACCCAGTACCAAATCCAATGTAGCCTTGCCTCTTCACGGCCGCCCCCTGGTCCTCACTCTCACTGCTCCCGTTGCTGCAGCAAAAATATAGGCCGCTGATCCCACGAGGTAAACTTTTAAACGATTAACTTACCTTCCCGGCAGCCCCCTGGTCCAGCAAAAATTTTACTTTAGTTCCCTCCTTACGGAAAATCAATCAATTCCTCTCTGTAAATGCTCCGTTCAGATTAGCAATCCATCATGGGAGAACACTGGTGGAAAGATGCCTTCACAAAACTAATATCTATTTGAATCATAATGAACTAATGCAGACAATTTGTTCTCACTGTTGTTCTCACTGATGGTCTAACATTAATGAAAACACTTTTTATTTAGTGAATAAACAACTTTCATGAGCACTACAAAATTTAAATGAACTTTAATGGTACATTAGTTTCTTAGTAGAAGTTAACATTACTTTCCTCAAATGACAATCAATGCTGTTACAATCACTGACTCCCCACTATCAACATCCTGGGATTAACATTGACCAGAAATTGAACTAGAGTAGTGATATCAGCATTGTGGCCACTACAGTAGGTCGGAGACTGAATGTCTTGCAGTGAGTAACTCACTTGCTACTTCCCAAAGCCTGTCCACCATCTACAAGGCACAAGTGAGGAGTGTGATGGAATATTCCCCACTCGCCCGGATGAGTGCAGCTCCAACAACATGGAGGAAGCTCGACACCATCCAGGATAAATAGCATATTTGATTGGCACCACATCCACAAACATTCAGTCTCTCTACCACCCGAAGCTCAGTTGCAACAAACAGTACCATTTACAAAATGCACTGCAGAAATTCACCAATGATTCCTAGACAGCATTTCTAAACCCACAACTGCTACCATTCATAAGGACAAGGGCAGCAGATTCATGGGAACACCACCAGCTGCAAGTTTCCCTCTAAATCCCTCACCATCCAGAACTGGAAATCCATTACCTCAGTGTTACTGGGTCATGATCCTGGAACTTGTTCCCTAGTGGCATTGTGGATGTAACTACACCAAATGGATTTCAGAAATTCAAGAAGGCTACCTACCTTCTGCACCACTACCTTCTCATTAGCAACTAGGGATGGGCAACAATGCTGGATCAGCCAGTGAAGCCCACATTCTGTGAGTGAATAAAACAAAAAGTATTACATTATGTTTTTATATGCATATTACATTGAAAATTGAACGGTTGCAAAGACTAGTATAGATGAGCCATTGTTCTGCTTAAGAACATTAACTCATTAATTGAGGCACACACAGATTAATTGCTAAATAATAGCTAGCACTCATTTCAGGTAATCTTTGGTGCTTTTGAAAGTTAAAGAAAGCGTTCACAATCTTATTATTTTCTGTTCTCTAAAATTTTTAAGAAGAAGCATTTATATCCTTAGGCTGTTTCAATGTGCTTTACAATAATTGAATTCATTTTGAAGCATAGTCAAAGTAGGCAAACACAACAGGCAATGTCTGCCCAGCAATGTCTGGCAAACAGCAGTGAGATGCGTGAACAAATAATCTGCACTTAATGCTGTCTTTGGGATGGATATTACCCTGGCCATCTGGAGAATCACCCTGACATTCTTCGAATTTATCATTAGGTCTTTTACATCCACATGAAACCTCAATTCAATGTCTCATTTAATGTCTCAGTGTCACACTAAAGTGCTAATCTACATCATCCACTCGAGTTTTAGATAGAATCTAAACATCTTGACTCAGAGGCAAGAATATAATCACTGAGCAATGATTAACTTTTCATAATTGAACAGTTTTCATCAATTTGCAAGTATAGATTGAGACAGCAATTTGTAATCTCTTCTTGTCGGCATTGTGTGGGATAGAGTAATAGAAATACAGCAGCCACTGAAGTTTAATGTTTATTACACTTGATTTATTTGATGTATTTACAGAAGGTGACACAAGTTTCATTTCAGAGTAGACAGCAATCTAGGGACTAAAAACAATGAGGAAATTAACATCAACAGATAAAAAGAATTGGACAAAGCAAGGGACTAAAATCTGATAAATCCCCAGGACCTAATGGCCTACACTCTAGTGTTCCAAAAAGGATAAATTCAGAGATAATAGATGCACTAGCTGTTATTTTCCTAAATTCCTTAGATTTGGAAATGGTTCCATCAGATTAAAAGTTGAAAAATATTGTACCACGTTTCAAGAAAGGAGGCAGGGAGAAAACATGCGACTACAGCTCAGTTAATCTAATATCAATTATTGGGATAATGTCTATTACCAAGGAAGTCTTAACAGTATGCTTAGAAAGGTGTAATATACTTAAAACAGGTCACCATGATTTTACTAAAGGAAAATCCTTTTTCGACAACTTTCTTGGAGTTTTTCAGGATGTAACCAGTAAGAAAAATAAAGGAGAACTAACAGATGTAGTATACTTTGATTTCTGAAAGGCATTTGATTGGATGCTGAACAGAGATTGATAACCAAGATAAGGGCTCATCATGCTGGGGGTAATATATTAGTATGGACAAAGGATTGGTTACTCTACAGGAAGCAGTGAATGATAGAAACAAGATATTTTCAAGTTGGCGGAATGTGACTAGTGGGGTAACAGAGGATTGGTGCTGGGGCCTGAGCTATTTGCAATCTGCATTAACAACTTACGTGTAGAGACACAGAGTAATGTATCTAAGTTTCCTAATGACACAATGTTAGGTGGAAAGGCAAAGTAAAGAACAAAGTGAAAGGTAAAGAGGTTGCAAGGTGAGTGGATAGCAAATAGATTATAATGTAGGGAAATGTTGTTATTCATTTTAGTTTTGAGAATGGGAGAATTTCTTTTCAGAAAGGTGTGTAACTTGTAAATATAGATGTTCAAAAGACTTAGGTATGCTCGGACAAGGTATGCAGAATGATAGCTTGCAGGTACAGCAAGCTTTTTGGAAGGCAAATGGCAAACACAAGTCCCCATTATGTCAAGGGGTTTGAATGGAGGAATAAAGAAACCTTTTGGCAATTTTATAGTGTTTTGATGAGGCCACATTTGGTGTACTGTGTGTAGTTTTGATTTCCATATTTAATTGAATATATCTTTGCACTGGAAGCTGTACAATGAGGGTTCACTAAATTAGTCCCTGAGATTAAAGAT